CGCCGGCGGGCCTGGCCTGCCGAGAGGGACGAGGCTTCGAGAGAGCGCCCGCCACCTGGGCCCTTCTGCCGAAGGGAGATTTGGGAAGGAGTGCTCTCTGGCAAGTGGGGAGGCCGTGGTCCCCGGACCCAGGAGGCAGTCGCGGCGCGGAGGGCGCCTGAGGGTGCCCCGGGCGCTCTAGGAGGAGTCCTGGCTCCCGCGTCGGTGCACAATCGCAGCTCAAAGCGGGACCTAGCTCCGCGCCTATGCCCAGGTGCAAGCATCTTGGTGCCCTTGGATTATATTTCGTGCACGATCGTTAAATCCAACTCTGCTGTACCCCCTGCTCACTCATTCGTGCACATGGCCTGGGGACACGCGTGTATCCAGGCCCTCTGTTTCTATTTTGTTTGTTGCAGTGAGGTTTTTGCATTTCTAACAAGCTCCCTGGAGCGCAACGGGCGGAGCGGCCTCCAGGACTGCTCTCTGAGTAGCAAGGGTTTGGGAGATACTTAGATACACCCGGCTTTGAGAAATCCTGACCCAGGTGCGTGGATGCCCTTTATTCAGGGTCAGGCCACTGCCTCCCTACTGGGATTGGGTCTGGAAGGGTCATCTCGGGTGAAGGGAAGGAAGCAGAATTGTGCCCCCACAGCTGTGCACACATCTGGATTCCAGTGGAGGGACCTTCCAAGTATCCCCAGCAGACCCAGGAAAAGTCCTAAACTAGTGAGCTTAATTGACACAAAGTGATCCTTGTGCGGGAGAGAGGCTTTAAGGGACCTGAGAGGGAATCATGAAAAGTGGTTCATAGTGTGTACAGAGTAGGGCACTGTGGCATGGGGTGTTCAGTGACATCTCCAGACTTTCTTGAGAAAACTCTAGAGAACCCTGACCCAGCCTTGGTCACAACTCATGGGCTTCTGACTGCTGCTGTGTGGCCTGGGACTTCGGTAGGAACGGGCAGGTTTTTCTTTCATTCAACAAATGCTTTTTGAGTGTCCAAGCAACAAACAAGACAGACTAGTCCCAGCAAGTTTGAGATTGAGTCTATGGGCAAGAGAAAGCCTAAGCACATTTGGACACAATCAATTCCATATGATCACAACTGGGGCGAGGGTCAGGAAGAAGGGGAGGATACTTGAAGAACACATTTGAGGGGAACTGCACCAGTTGAGGTGTCATCTGCTCTGAAGCAGTGAAGTTTAAACTTTGGGCAGAAGTGCAGGGTGGGAGTTGAGAGGAGGAGGAAGGGAGTGTTTGTGTAAGAGATGGAGAGACATTCATTCATTCAATGTGTATTTATTGAGCACCTGCTATGTGCCAGGCAGTTCTAGCCCTGAGCATCCAGAGAGGAACAAGACAGTCCTCCTGGAGTTCTGAACATGCAAAGCTTAGCGATGGGGGTGTGCTTGGCATGTCAGGGTTGGAGGAACTGAAAAATTGCTGGGGCTGTAGCACAGAGGTAGGGTGGGGGCAAACGGGGCAGGAAGCCAGAGGTGGGTGGGGTCTGACTACATTAGCAATGTGGACCACTTTGAGGTTAGACTTTTATCAGTTTGGTATGTGGGACAGTCTCTTGGCCAATTCCCAACCAACCTCTGGGTTGAAGGGACAGC